ACCCTCTCGCTGCAGCTGTACCCTCTCGCTGCAGCTGTACCCTCTCGTTGTAGGTGTACCCTCTCGCTGCAGCTGTACCCTCTCGCTGCAGCTGTACCCTCTCGCTGCAGCTGTACCTGCACAGTTTGCGTATCAGGTCCTCTGGTCTTTTGCTGATCTTCTTGGGGAAGTCCATCTTTTCAATGCCTTTCAGGATGAAAGTGTAGGTCATCATTTGGTCACTTCCTGAGAACGGAGGACTGTGGGTTTAACAAAAATAAACAGGTTTTTTTCAGCTCTTTTGAAAACTGCAGTTTTTATTAACTTTAATAAAGACCACAGATCACTGCACTGACCTGCCCGTAAGAAGCTCAAACACCAGGATCCCCAGAGCCCAGAAGTCCACACTGAAGTTGTGGCCTTTGTTGAGGATGATCTCGGGCGCTACGTACTCCGGTGTGCCACAGAAGGTCCAAGTCTTCTGGCCCGATCGGATCTTTTTGGCAAATCCAAAGTCAACCTGTTGAGGTAGGATCCTTTGGTAAGCTCCACAAAATTGAGGGTTGAAAAACGTACAATGATGAGTCAAAGAGCTTGTGACAAAAGGATGAAAGATACTTAGAACGCTATTTAAGAACAGGATTGATAAAAACACATTTACTGTATAACTAAAATCACTGCAGGAACATTTTATTTATCTTCTGTGAAGGAGTGTAGGTGTTTATCATCTCAGACAAGACATGTCTGTCTTTGGTTGGATAGCTGTGGTAGCCATCTTGAATCAGGTTGAATCCTTGTAGATTACTTCTGAGAGTTTCACTCAGTCTAGCCACTGGTTCATGAGATATTTTGCCAACAGACAGACACACTTACTCACAAGCAAAAACACTACCATCCTTTAACTTTTGGCAGTGGGTGATGAAGAGTTGTATTAATTTTATTCCCCTTTTATTCCCCCAGTAAATCCAGCTGAGGTCACAGATCAAGAGAGGTCTGGACCTGAAGGCAGCGCAACATGAAAGTTTTTGGACTGGGTGCGGAGAAGAAGGTGATCCGATCAAAACTTGAATCAAAGCTTACTTCAGGACAGCATTTCAGGTTTTTAAACGGTAAATAGTAAACACTAAATTATTCATTTTTATTTGGTGTGAACTGAATTTTGAGCGGCATGAACTTCCTGTTGGACCAGGCTGCAGGAATGAACGTTTAAATCAGTTTAACTATATTAATGTGGTGCTTTTAGAGCTCAAAGTAACAAACAGCTGCACAGAAGTGGGACAAAACAGAAGAAGAATAAAAGGAGGAACGTTTACCAGTTTGATGTACCCGTCGGTGTCGAGCATCAGATTCTCGGGCTTCAGGTCTCTGTAGAGGACACCTTTACGGTGGAGATACTCGAAGGCTTCAGTAACGCAGCCGATGCAGAACTTGGCGGTGGGCTCGTCGAAGCTTCCCCTGAACGCAACAAAAAGTGTTTTAATGAAATACAGCAGTGGATTCCTGCTTTATTAGAGACTTAGAGGTTTTATTTTTGGGTGGCAGTCCAACAGAAAAGTCATCAAATGATGCAACAAATCTTTTTGTTTTGCTTCTCCCACCGGTCTCTGAGCAGACTCCAGATCTCTCCTCCCAAACACGCCTCCAGCAGCATGTACACATATTTATTATCCTTGAAGGTGCCGTACAATCTGAAAAATGAATAAAAATAAAAAGTTAGGTCATCATTTGAGCAAACTCTCTCTTTCTGTTCAGAAAATGGCCCCACGGTGTCTCTTTTATACATTTACCGTATTTTCCACTGTACACATCGCACCGCCCTACAAGTTGCATCAGTCCAAATATGTCTAATAAAGTGGAAAAAAACATAAATATGTTGCTTCGCCATATAAGTCGCCTCTATTATGCATCACTGCTGAAGCATCATGTTTGTTACGCGTCACCGCTGACAACCTGGAAATGTGGGCCGGTGTTGTGCCAAAAATCGATTGGCTGCCAAATGGCAGCTGCGGGAGCGTGCACAGGAGGACTTCAACATGAATTTAACAAGATTAACACTTAAAAACAATTATTTGTCTGCTTGAAATTATAAAAGGAGATAAATGTGATAAAAGGTGTGTCTCAGTTGAACTTTTCCTTAATAAATGCACTTTGACAGTCAAATCAGCTGCATTTCAAAGTATTTGGTGCTTCGGTGCTCCAGGAGCGCACAGAGGGAGGAAATCAGGAATTTCTTAGAAATTTAACAAGATAAGCACCTAAAACAATTATTTGTTTGCTCAAAATTATAGTAAAGGTGTGTCTCAGTTGAACTTTTACTTAATAAATGCACTTCAATGGTCAAATCAGCTGCATTTTGCCGGAGTAGTGTAACGAAATGAAGTTGATTTGACGGATGCTCCAGGCGAGCTGGACCAAGGTGGCAGGCTATGGCAAGCCGATTGTGCTATTAATAGCCATTTTTACCTATTAAATGACACAATGGCATGCCATACTACTTGAGTGCCATTTAGCCGCTGAAAACGGTTGTGCTCAATATTTTCAATGTCAGAATTAATAAAATTGGTCATATCTCAGCCAAAAATTGGTTTATAAATATGGGAAAAAATACATAAATAAGTCACTTTGGTGTATAGATCGCATATCATACAAAGTATGCAAAAAACTGCGACTTATAGGCCGTAAAATACGGTAAATGTCATTCTGTTTGAATTGTTTATATCTGCAAAATAATGAGTTTGTATTAAATTGATATACAGCTGGTCTTATTTTTTCAGTAAAACAAAAAACTATTAAAACTGACCAGATTTAATCTAAAAATAATATGTTCCAATGTGTTTTTGCAGATAAATGAAGGAGAAATTCAACATGTTGGATAAACACTGACTTGACAACAAAAGGCGAGCGAGCCTCAGCGAGGATCCTCCTCTCAGAGTGGATGTGCTCTTCCTGCCTGTTTTCCACAACGTGCTTCTTCTTGATGATCTTCAGAGCAAAGCTGATGTCTTCGCCCTTCACCTTCACCTGAAAATTCATTTTTTAAAATCGCATGAGAGGGATTTTTACAAACAAATGTTGTCAATTATCAAAAGAAAAGCTTGGAGATTATAATATATATATATTTTTTTATTCAAACATGACTTTTTTAAACTAGACTGAGAATGTTTTTGCACCGTTGCACGATCTAAAGCTTCGAAACTGTAATTTTTGGCCATTTTCATGTGCACGGGTTTCTTTTCAAGGAATTTTTGTTTTCTTCACATTGTTTAAATTTTAGATTTAAAATGTTTAACATGATGGATGTTTTCTTCCCCACTCTTTAATGAAAAAACATGTTCAAAATTGTTTTTTTAAGCAAACAAATCACCTGTAGGAACAGATTAGTTTAAATTAAATTAAACAATAATGACATTTATTTGTACTTGAATCAGTGCTCGGTATCTGCAAGTACTCAAATATAGATATTTGTAGTTGCTTTGGAAAAATGTTGCATCAGTGACTAATTCAACAAACATTGAAGGTGTTTTATCTGCAGACAATATGAACAACACCAGCAACACCAATACTATATGCCGAGAAAAACTAAATTCAATTCATTAGTTATTAACTCTTGTGTTCTAATTGATCTAACTCCAAATCTGTTTTGTGTTGTTCATGAACTCTGCTTAACAGTTACCAGTTCAACACGTCCAAAGCCGCCAACACCGAGTGTAGCGATGACTTCCAGGTGATCGAAGGGCTTGGATGAAGAGAACCCCGACACCATGTCCTTCAGCTGGATGAAACAGGGAGACAGCGGCTGGCTCTGGTGCCGAGAGAGCGACTTCCTGAACGAACAGAGGGCGCATTTTATCCAACCAGTGAGAAACACGGAAATCTGATAACGATGAAGTTAGTGTCACGTTCCTGTTTATACTTTCAAACATGTCACTTTTAGTTTTTACTGAAAAAGTAGATTTTTCTGTCATTATTTGCTGTTCATTCTGAGAATCGGGGTTCTGGACCTACTTGGTATGTCTCTTCTTGTCATCACGATCAAGTGTAGCCACGTAGCCTTGGAGGTGCTTCTGCAGCTCGTTGAAGTTGCCCACCGTCTGATCGAACGTCCTACAAGAACAAACCAAGTGGAGCTGCACTATAAACTGCACAGCTGGTGGTGTTTATGCATTAGAGCATTAGGAAGAAATATTTAGTACAACTACTTACTCTCTGTCGATGACAAGACACTCCACTCCGTTGTCATCAGCGACGATATTGGCTGACCTGACATCGTCACTAAAAACACACGTGGAGCACAAAGAGAGACTTAAACCGCCAACCCCTGCAGTTGTTTTAATGATGACATAAAGCTAGCACTGTCTCTCACTGGGCTTTGAGAGTTGGAGACGAGTTAATTAAAGAGAAAATTGTGGAAAAACTGCGACTGAATTCAGACTGTTTTAAAGCAAACAACCAGCATGACGTGTGGCTGCTTGTTCAATGACCAGTTTTTGAAAATCACAACCCGTTTTTGTGTGAACTGCTTATAGAAACTGCATTCTTAGCAGTCGCCCACCTTGGTTTGTTTTGTTCCCACTTTGGCAGCTGTTTATGATTTAATCTGCTGGAGTTCAAATTGAAGACGGGCAGATTTGGGCCTGTTTTCAAAAACTATTATCATTAGAGTGATGAGGACACGCTGGTGTGGGCCCCCGGAGGAGCTGGCCCAAGTGGCTGGGGAGAGGGAAGTCTGGGCCTACCTACTTAGGCTGCTACCCCCGTGACCCGACCCCGGATAAGCAGAAGAAAATGGATGGATAGAGTGATTTTTAGACTTGTCTGTCAGAGGAGAGTGCTCCTAGATGCGTCAAAACACAACTCTAAGGCTCTGGAGATGTCATTTCTAACCCAAACCCAGTCCCACCTGACCCGAATTAGGGTTGTGCCATAATAATGTGCATGATGTGTGGGCCGGGCCGGTGTTGGGCTTTTTATTTGCGTCAGCAGACGAGCGCTGCTGATGATCCAAATGTCAACATTCACCAGCCATTTCACCGCGAGCTGACTGGCCTTGAAAGAAGTTTAAAAAAAAGTTCAGTTAAAGTAAAGAAAGACATTTAAACAAATGAGACATCTTTGTTCTTTCTTTTAGAAGTTGGTGGTGTAATTTAAAAAAGATTCAGCTGCACTCGGCCGACGACCAAAACAGGTGAGATCCCAAAATGTCTGACATGTCAAAGCTGGGTCCGTGTCTGAATAATGCAGAGTGCAGGCAGAAGCAGGGATTTGACAGCCATGAAAGGACAAGCACCCCCTCAGCTCTGATCTTCTGCCAACCGTTAATATGAGCAATAGTATAAGAAGTCAAAGCTTGGGGGGAGGGGGGAGGGAGGTTCGGGTTCCGACCTGTAATTACTGTTAATTCGTCGGGTCGGGTTCGGAAATGATGGCTATGGGCTGGGGCCCAGTTAGATTATTTGGGCTGGAGATGCATCACGCTGTCTTTGTGATTATTTAGATAAAAAATGTGTTGCTTCATGAATCATGTGAGTAAATGGAGAATCATTCAGAACATCACATTTAAATGAGTGCCGTTCAAAAAATAGTCAGAGCCCAGGAAGATGCTGCCATAGTTCAAACACTTTTTTTATTAAAAAATACTGCAAAAACCGCACTCCCTCCAAAACACGATTTCAGTAAAAAAACATACAATTTTCAGCAAAGACCAAGATTTTAAATAGATTTTAAGTAGGAAAAGCAGCTTTGCTCAAAATGCTTGCCCTCTAATTTCACTACCTGTTATTATCGACAGCTTTTGTTGTTTTTACCTTATGAGTGCTTTCTCTCCAAAGTAGTCTCCCTTCTGCAGTGTGTTGATGATCTGCGGCATCTTGTGGGCCTCGGTGGTTTGGGTCACGTTCACCTGGTTAACACAGTTTTCATGACCTTTAAACCACTTTACGTCTCCAGTTCAGCTTTCACAGGTGCTTCATATTTTCTCTGTATATTTGTACATGCACGGTAAAAGCTTAAAGTGTGTTCAACCCCATTCAATTCGAGTCGTTCGTACGTGAAAGGACTGCGGGATTAGGTGCAGTTGAAGCACTTCATATTCTCCTGACTTCCTGTACAAATACACAAATTACTTGAAAGAAAGTTTAATCAGTGGAATCAGATTTTTTTCTGCTAGTTTGCAAAGCAGGTGAAAAAATTGATGCTTTGAAACTTCTCTGTGATGCTTTAAAAGACACACCCCCCCCCCCCCAGTCGAGGTCAGCCATCACACTTGTGGCACCGTCCCGCTTAAGAAACGCCACACTGACATCACAACTGTATGTCTCGAGTGTGTTTTAACTAAGTGCCCTGTTTGACCACAGTGACCCTCACTTCCCATGTTTTTCTTTTCAGAATGTATTCCCTCCCTGGTCAGGGGGTGCGGGGGTGGGGTCATTTCCTGTATTACCTCCTATCCTCCCAAACAACATATGCCTCACCCTTATGTTAGCATTTAGGAGCTGCTGTCTCAAATCGATGTATAATGGCATTTTTAAAAATCCCCCATGGACACATGTCCCTCTACATACCCCCCCCCCCCCCAGTGTCAGGTTACTCACTGATGAGACAGACAAGATGGTGAGTCAGACCCCACTCTCGCATACAGTTACATCAACATACAAATTGAGAAAAAAATTATATTTCCACCAACTCTGGCACCAGACCACATAAACAGATCCAAAAACACTAAGAAACTACAAAACCGATCCAAAAACACCAAGAAAATACAAAACAGATCCAAAAACACCAAGAAACTACAAAACAGATCCAAAAACACCAAGAAAATACAAAACAGATCCAAAAACAACAAGAAACTACAAAACGGATCCAAAAACAAGAAACTACAAAACGGATCCAAAAACACCAAGAAACTACAAAACAGATCCAAAAACAACAAGAAACTACAAAATAGACCCAAAAACAACAAGAAACTACAAAACAGATCCAAAAACAACAAGAAACTACAAAACAGATCCAAAAACAACAAGAAACTACAAAACGGATCCAAAAACAAGAAACTACAAAACGGATCCAAAAACAACAAGAAACTACAAAACAGATCCAAAAACAACAAGAAACTACAAAACAGATCCAAAAACAACAAGAAACTACAAAACAGATCCAAAAACAAGAAACTACAAAACAGATCCAAAAACACCAATAAACTACAAAACAGATCCAAAAACACCAAGAAACTACAAGACAGATCCAAAAACAACAAGAAACTACAAAACAGATCCAAAAACACCAAGAAACTACAAAACAGATCCAAAAACAACAAGAAACAATAAAACAGATCCAAAAACAAGAAACTACAAAACAGATCCAAAAACACCAAGAAACTACAAAACAGATCCAAAAACACCAAGAAACTAGCTAATCGTTATACTCTATACTTCGTGGTTCGACTTTTGCAGACTCGATGTTTCGGGGGTTTCCAACGTAACACGACACACGATTGGCTGATTGATGGAAGGCAACCAACCAGAGAATTGTGCTGAGGAGTAGAATGGCCATCAGGAGCACTGGGAAATTTCCCGGTGGCCTGGTCCGCTCAGTGATTGCAGAGGGCCCCCCTTCTTTCTCTTTCTGAGGCTGTCTGTCACAGCAGAGCAAAGACAACAGGCAGGTGCCCAACCTGTTGTGTGTTGACAGCCTCAGAAAAAGAAAGGAGGGGTGGGGTTGGGTCTGTCTTTCCCCATTGCTACTGCTCAGGGAGCTTAAGTGAGGTGGACCTGAGTGAGCAGCATGGATTGATTATTTAAAACAATCAAGCGCGACCCGAACTGAACCGAGATGGCCTCCTTTCTCAAGCCATCGTTCCTCTCTATCAAGGATGTGAACATCTTCATCTGAGCTGCAGATGAGTGTAGACCGCAGAGTCCTGGCCTGGCCAGTGGCTGTTTAGTTTCACCTAAGACTGATCACCCTCCTGACACTGACCAGCATACACAATATTACTCTTGTTTGTGCAGGGGGACTGGATCTTTTGGGATGGAGTCTTGGCCCAGTGGCTTTCAAACCCCAAGAAACATCACGGCAGTCATGTTTAGAAAATAAACGTCTCAGTTTCTCTGAAACTCCTGCAACATACAGAACGACTACTGGTCTAGGTCTGGGTTGAAAGGTGGACTTTGACTTTTTTTATGTGCGAGAACGAACGTCCTGCAACCACGTGACCACGAGTCGACTGTTCAGCTTGGGATGGAGTATTCAGAGTCCTTAACTCTGACTCTAAAAACATAACATGGCAGTATCTATGAACAGACATTTTGGCTTCAGTTTTAAACAGTGGAAGTTAATGGAGTCGCTCCATCCATCTTTATGTCAATGCACGCTACTTGTTTGTCAACAGCGGCTCTAAACTGGTGTATCTTTTAGGCAGATTCTTGCAAATTGTCTTCGAAATCCCTAAGACAAGTAACAAGAACCTGACTTCTTGGTGGATGGTCTGTCTCAGTAGAATAAACATTAAACTTACAAAATTACCCAAGAATATTTTTTAATCTCTCTGAGGTAAATAGTTTTATCCTCAGAATTTACTCAGAATGTCAAGACTAAAGCTTCACAGTCTTAGACTCTGTTTCTAAATAACATTTAAAATGTAAGAGTTTGAAGGTGAGAGCCAAAAAACAAATGTTTTACCTTCCCCTGTGCAATGATGTAGAAGGTACTGCCCTCCTCTCCCTGCCGGATGACGTAGTCTCCTTTGTCATAGTATTCCTGAGGGGGAAGGGGTGAGAAAGAAAGGGGAGGGCAGTCAGAACTGCAGCTTTTCATTGATTTACCCATTGATCCTGTTATCCTGGTTCCTGGTAGTCAGTGCCCTGAGGGACGGGAGCTAAAGTTCAGCTATCAGTGACGCTCTAGTCCCAGTCTGCTAATCTGTGAGGGATTTACAGCATCCACTGAATAAACAAACCAGAAAGCTCTAATTAGGATGTTTTAATGTCTGCCACACGGGTATTTCATTTAAAATTTACAGTGATTTATTGTAGCATAAATCTCTGAATTGTGTGTCTGCTGATTCAGCGATCACACTGTTCTTTTCCTGTTTGTCTACTTTTTTTTAACAATACCTGCAATCTAATTACCTTTGCATACTTTCTGTTATCTCAGCCGTTCATGCATCCAAAAGTTCAGGCTGTTGTGAAGATGGATGCTGTGAGTCTAGATGTGGAACTATTTTACCAGAGAAACACTTTGAGATCTCTTTTAATACTTGATATTTTCTTTGGAATTAGCTTCAGCATAAATAACTCCATTTTTGTATTCTTACGCTATTTTAGTTTTTAACTACCATTCCGATACTTTCAGCTTTTAGTTACTGTTCTGCAACTTTTATCTAACCTATTCAGAGTCAGAGAGTCAGAGTTTCTTTATTTCTTTATTTGTACCACATGTGGTACATGTGGTGGAATGAAATTGTGTAAACAGGGTCCTATTGCTACATTAGCTATGTATCTAACTAGCCGTTTGCTACTTTTAGCTTCTTGCTACTCTAGTCTTTTGCAGCTTTTAGCTAGCTTTTTGCACTTTTAGCTAGCTAACTACTTTTTGTTGCTATAGCTACTAGTTTATTACTTAACTTTTTACCAGTGCTATTTATGACTGAGTTTGTTGCAGCTCCTCAGACTGAAGAAGTCTTTTGGATAAAAGACTAAACTTTTCAACAAACAAGAATCCGTCCAGAGAACCTGAATTAACTTTGCATATTTCCATCTACCTGGATTGCTGAGCATGCATCAGGGTAACAGTCAGTTTTTAGCGATAAAGTAAAAATAATGGCACAACTTGATGTTGGCGACAGATGCAGAAGTTCAGCCAAACCACCACATTCTATTCAAATATTAAATACCAGCCGCTCAATATCTAAATGAAAAATTAAGCAGGAATGTTTGCAAGAAAGGTTTAGGCTCATTTCAATTTAGGCTAGGCAGCACAATTATCTGTCTGCCAAAATGACATTTTTAACCATGTTAATTTTAATGAATAATTGCAATTTGTAAAGCCTAAACATCCTCTAGAGCTCAGGTTTTGTAAAGAATGACTGTATTTTCAGACTCGCAGTTGGGGGTGCCTCAGTGGCTACATGAACACCATAAGCTCCAGTTCCACCTGATGTAAATATATTTTATAAAACAGCATTTATTCCCTTTTCTTTGTGCGCTTCTGTTTGTTCTGCTGACCAGCTGCAATCCGAGTGCAGCTGTGCATAAAAATAAAGTTTATTAGAATAATTTTACATCTTAAAAAGTCCAAACCAAAAAGAAAGACTTAGAATGACACCGGTTTGAGCAAATTGGTTTCCAGTGCGTATTCGCACTGTAAATAAGAGTGTGATAGATTCAGCTAATAAAAGTAACTTTAATTTTGATTTATAATTATCCTGTGAACAATAGACACCTGTAAACCAAAAACAAGTCATGCGTGGTTCCGTTTTAGAGCCGTAGTTAAACTGAACGACACTTTGAAATCTTTTTGGAAATAAACGTTCAGATGTTTTCTGTCAGCTTGAGCCAGGTTGCTCCACTTTGTGCAGGCGAGACGGCCGTCTGCTGCTACAGACCCTCCGTTGTCCAAAAGAGAACAAACAAATCAGAGCAGCGTCCGTAGCGCTTTCCGTCAAAACCCTTGACAGAAGTGGCATTTTGCTTGAGCATCCAAGATTGTTTACCTTCTGTTTACGCTTGAGGAGAGCCTAGTTTAAGGCCAGGCTGTGACAGCGGACAGCATGCTAAGGTTTTGTTTAGAAAGACTGTCTGGATGATCCCGGAGCTGTTCAGGGGGAGGACGAGTTTGTTATTAAACCAAGCTCAACTTTAAATGAGCTTTACGACTCTCAAGATGGAAAGAAAGAGACGTTGGACTTTCACCTAAAAGCTTTACAGCATCTCTCGTCGTATAACTCAAACACCCGGAGCAGCCATTTACCGGTACATTCTTTATTCCAAACCAGTGACATCATTTCATTAACTTGTCATCGACAAACTCTGCAAAATCTTTTAAATCTGGATGCAAGCACAAAACTGTGCCTTCCTTAGACATCACCCATTTAAATGTAAAGATTCATTCGACCTTCAGTCTGCCATTTTTAAAGATGGCCGCCAACGTACAATATTAAAACATACTATTTTGATAAATGTAAATTATTTTTTGGTTTTAAAGATTAGATTACTGAAAACACAAGTACAACTTTTGGGGAAACAGGTGAATTTTCAGTTCCACCCAACGATCATGTTAAGAATTTAGTTTAAAGTTTTTCAGTTTTCTACCATGAAACATTTTCTGCTTTCATCGTCTTCTTTCGGCTGCTCCTTCTCCAGGGGCCGCCACAGCGAACTAACTCACACGAAGACTTGGCTGTTTTTACGCCCGATGTCCTTCCTGACGCAACAACAAACCACTGAGCTACCACAGCCAAATGACAAATGAGTTGGGAACAAGGAAGATGGTACAACGGTGGTTCTTAATGAATGATATGGAGAACACACCAAAACACATTGAGCTTTAGCTGCCAGAAAGTCAACAGCTGTGCTTCAAACGTCCTTAAGGCAAAGGCGTTTTCAGGAGTTGTGGGGTCTTAGACTCAGGAGTTTTCCTCCACACATACATCTACATGGAAAGCACACCCACCAGGTTCACAAAAACATCTTGGGCAAATTCTTCCTGAACATCTGCACATCTGTCAGGTGCTCCCTGAGAGAGTAAAGATCAGCGGAACGACTGAACGAGAGAATTTGTCCCCGATGATCAACAATGGTCAACAAAAGCAACGGCCGTCCGTGAAGTTAGCACAGTGGTGGAGAAAGTACTCAAACACTGTACTTAAGTAAAAGTATACAGACAAAAATGTACTCTAGTAAAAGTAGAAGTACCAAATTAACGTTTTTACTTAAGTAAAAGTAAATAAGTACATGCTTTTAAAAATACTTAAAGTATTAAAAGTACTTGCTGAATGTGTTACCTAATGCAATGGCCTACAATATAATTAAGTGTGCCCACCATATGAATATTTTCTGTAATACATTAAAAGTGTTGAGTCATTTTAATGATCGATGCTGCAGATGATGCGTGTTTTTATTGTGTTTACTCTGTGACACCGTTCACACCTGGACTTGTGATTCTGTGCAGGGATGACATGCAGAGTTAAATGCCATTAAGCAAAATAAGAAAGAGGAATGATTATACCTTTGAAAGTTTTTATTTAACACAACCATTGTGTCATTTTAATTGCAGTAAACACATTTAAGTAAAAGTTGTCTGCCTGAAAAAAGGATCATTGGACACAACTAACAAAGGAACAGGCTCTGATCGTTTCAACTCCAGTTCATGATCAACTCTAGTTAAAATACTGTCCAGTCAACCTTTTTTTATTTTAACTTCCCGACAACATTTTCAAAACTTGGCCCCGAGTGTCGAGCCATTTGGAGACATCTCTTGTCTCCCAACATCCCATGAACTGACACATTTTAATACTGCAGCAAGAATTTCTTGTTCAAGTTCAGAAGAAGTTGGTTTTCAAAGTTTCTGGAGTCCAGTCTGGCTCTTATGGGAGAGAGGATCTGTCCTGTGATAGTGTTTCAATAAGGCCATGGGTGGTGCGTACCTTCGGACTGACTCTCCACAGTGGAATCCATTTTGGGTGTTAGCGGTGCTGTGGGTGTGCCCAGCTCAATGATGTATATTCATTCAACGTTTATTTAGACAGATATATACTAGAATAGACGTCACTGGTCCAGCTCTTCTTGAAGGTGGGTCTAACGTTACCTGCCCACTTTGTCAATGGACCAACTCCCTCTCACCATTGGTTACTTTCAAACTAAAGAACAAATAAAAACACAACGTGGAACAGCAACACATTATAGAAATGTAGTGTACTAGAAAATACAGATACTTAATGTAAAATGTAGTTGAGTAAAAGTCACAAGTACCCATGTTTAACTCTACTTAAGTAAAGACACATGAAAAATGTGCTACAAAGTAACAAAGTACTTGCACTCCCACCAGCATCATGAAAGGGAGGCAGCTTTTGACCCGACACCGATGGGTTCTACTCAGTTTTCTCTTTTTCTATCCAACCGTCCTGCAGCTGAACTGGGGTCGGCCTCCACACACACCGTTCTGTCGCACACTTGTGTTGTCTCACACCAAAAGCCTGTCTCTCGCACATCTTTAAGACATCACTCGTCCCTTCATTTGAATAAACACTTTCCGGGGCCTTAGTCAAATAATTACAGTAACAATATCCAGCCCCCGGCGATGACAGGAATAATATTGCCTCTGTTCATCAACACGGTAATTTGTGAGTTTTTGCCAACTGGAGCTGCAGTGATTATGCTGACATGTGGTAATGGTATACGGCCAAATGGTAATGATATTTTGACAGCAGCTATCTGCAACATGCCGGCTCCCATAGGCTGCCAAAAAGTTGTGCAATACGCACAAGAAATGAAATTGTCCCTCTGGTAGAAGTTTGACAGAATAACTTACCACCTCCAGGCAGTCCACTATTTTGCTTAGCTTGTCCTCGGGTAGATTCGCCAAGAGAGAAACACTGACAGACAGAGGAGAGTTAAAAATACATTACACTGTGCACAGGTGTGCACACATTAATACAGAAACTGCAGTTTCAACACAAAATAAATGTTCATTTTATTGCGAATATGCAATCCAGTCACCTTTTCTACAAGAGTTTATAACATAAGAATTATCATGTTCATTGAAAAAAAAGGTACAAATACTTTGTCCACATCCACGCTGATTGGTCCCAAAACCAATACATAAATGGATTTCGTAAAAATGATCCTCTAAGAGACGTTTTAATGAACATTAAAAGACTTCAAATAACCAGGTGATGCTAAGACTTGGGGCTGACCTTCGGAGGAAGTTGCGGTACTGCTCGTGTCGCGTCTCAGCCGTCCTCCTCATGATGTTCTGGAACACCTCTCGGTCCAAGGCCCATGTTCTCACTTTGTTCACAGCTGTAGAAGCAGCATAAAAAAATACACCCTTCTAAAACATGTTGCACTGAAAGGATCAACGTGGTAGATGTTATTTTATGCAAAAACACTTGTACTGTACACAGCACATCATACGGCCCGTTACACAGCAATACGGCAATCTGTAGCAATGACCCCGACAAGCAAACACCTATTTGACCTTGATTTGTGACCTTGATCTTGGAGACGGGGTGATGAAATTATTGTATGACACGCTGTCTAATGATGGTGCATATGTGTATCAAGTTTGTTAAATTATATTGAGAAGGCAAGACAAGAGAAAGTTTGCAGGCGTACGGAGACTACGCCATAATACCTTTGATGGGCGTATAAAAAAATACATTAACCATAAAAATGACATTTTGTGAACATATAACATAACATATTGCACATTGTGCAAATAATTTTTTCTGACAGGCTAAACCCAATGCACTTATATGTTGTTCATGGTCACCATCAGTAAACATTGAGGCAGCTGCCATGACGGCTACAAAGAAAGTCGAGGAGAGTCCAGTGTGGGTGGAGGTGGGTATTATGCACAGTCTGGACCAGGGTTATTCAACTAAATTGCTCAGGGGGCCACAGTTACTGACAGCCAAGAGCTCAGGGGTCGGACATCCAGCAAGTTTATTTTATGGTTTAACATCTAGTTTTATTTAAAAATCAACCCATTGGTGGGCCAAACTGAGGTCATCCGTGGGCCTGATTGGCCCCCGGGCCGCCAGTTGAATATGCCTGGTCTAGACAGTTGCAAGATGTGGATGTTAAAAATTAACTGTAATTTACAAAAATTGGTCATGCAGCTTACTGGTTGCAAACGCTCAGAATTCAGTGAAACTGCAACAGAAAATCTGTTTTCTTGCAGATTTCAGTTGCAGCCCAGTGAAATTCGACCTTAAACGGCCCTGTCGTTACAACGTGAACATTTTGTTTTTTCTTTGTCGTTTGCCATTTCTTTGTCAAAAGGAAATGAGTTGAAGCTCCTTAACATACAAAGACGTGTTTAAAACGAACCAGCAGCAAAGAAAAAGCACAAATAAAAACCTTCCACTTCATCTGCCACCAGTCAGTCAGCGTTACCTGTTCACCCAGAACATCTAGGACACCTGGATGTCCATCTCTCAAGGATTAACAGAAAGTTAATTTACAGTCCATGCAAAGAGTGCTCACATATCTATGTTCTCAAAGCCATGTGTGTAAAAAGCAACCAGGACGTGAATCAAGTAAAGTTTCTGTCAACACCGCCATGAAAACTCTTGTTAGCTTCACCATCTCCGTTCTTCATCTCCCATCAGCAGTGCTTAAAGTTGTCAGGGATGAAGGTCGGAGGATGTGTTGTAGATTTATACAAGAAGATGGACCATGAGTGGAATACCCCCTCTGGGTCAGGGGGGAGTCTTTTGCCTCAGATACAGGAGTTGAAGTACCTGGGCGTCTTGCTCTTGAGTGATGGTAGGATGGAGCCAGAGATGGATCAATAAATCAGGGACCTGTCCTCAGTAATGAGAGTGTTGCTTCAGTCAGTCATGGTGAAAAAAAGAGTTACGGTCCAACCTTCAGCTAAGTCCATGACCAAAAGAATGCGATCCCGGATGCAAGCGTCTCAAATGAGCTTCCTACTGGCCAGACGAAGGTGAGGAGCCTCGTCACCCATGGGGAGTCAGGTCAGGTGGTTTGGGCAGATGCTCCCTGGATGCCCCCCTTTGGAGGTTTGCCAGGCTACGGGGGCAGACCCAAAACTCCCTCGAGCTATTATACGTATATCCTCTCTGGCCTGGGAGCACCTTGGGGGTCACCTGCAGAGTGTCGCTGTAGAGAGGGAGGTCTGTGTTTCTCACCTGGACCTGTTCTTTCTGCAAACTGACTAAAGATAAGTGGTAAAAAATGGAGATGGATGGATAGCTGGCCGCACATCAAACTTTAAAGTTCCAGGACTTTGTGGACTTTAAAACAGGGGTGTCTCAAACTTTTTGGATTCAGGGGAGAAAAGGTTTCAGGGGCTCCCTCATCCCCCTCATGTTTATTAAATATATTTATTCAATTTGTCTCTTTAATACGATGGAAATATTTATTTAAATATAAACCTGTTCTTTAATAGTGTTAACACAATTTTTATACTTTTAAACATGGGGTGTTTTCATTCAAGGCGCACTTAATTAACAACATTTTTAATTTCAACTTCCAAAAATTACATTTTGAGAAAATGAACAGTGTCAGAAACTACTTGAAAGCTTTACCTAGTCACATAACGGACATAAATTGTTACAGAAAAGTCTCTTTACATAAAACTGAACAGAATCATCACAGCAGTTGTCAAACCAAGTTACAGGGATTCGTTTGTAAAACGATCGATGCTCGAGCGCAAATAGTGAGTGGGTCGTCGGGGTGGTGTGGGGAAGTCCTCCCCCGGAAAATTTTTAATAAAGTAGATGTGATTTCCTGCATTTTGGTGTATTTAAACATCTTTGTGCTTGCAGTTTGTTTGTTTTTTGCGGACCCCCAAGTACTGGCTCGTGGACGTCCGGGGATCTGGGGACCCCAATCTGAGAACCACTGCTTTAAAACAGCCTAATTCCAGTTTGAAACAAAAACAACTTAACAAATATGCAAATATCAATTTTTTTTAGAATGCATGAAAAGATTTGACTTTTAAAATGTATCCCATGCTCAAAAAGCATTTGGTGAGTATTAATGTTTCAGTAATGGGAACTGCTGCAGCGATGACCTGGACACTTTGCCTTTAAATTCTGTGTCCCACACTGAAGAGGTCAGCTTGTGCACGTGTCCCGCAGTAACCCTCGAACTGGGACACAGACTGTCACTCAGTGTGGGTTCAGTGGGACCAGTGCAGGGGCAAACAGGACACAGAATCAGACTGCTGATAAACAATGTTTGATTATGTCTGCCACACTGTCACAGTCCTCTGAGTCGTTAATGTGTTCGATAGTTGTAGCATCTGTCTGAGTTTATAAAAAGAAATATAGTTAGGAGAACGTTCAGTCTTTACTGAGTTTAAAACGTTTACCTCGCACCGATGCTGTCCGTGTGCAGTTGTACAGGATGGCTAATTCCCCAAACGTGGTCCACACCGCTATCGATGTGAGCAGCTTGTTTTGTTGAAACACGTCCAGCTTCCCGTCTGAAAACATGAAATAAGAGCAATCAATGATTTTTTTTTAAAGCTCCTGTTACACAAGCATAAGATGCAACACCAGCTGAATGAAACTGTAATCACATGTGATTCATAAAAGGCACAAACACAAGATGATTTTTGTTCTTTTGTCTTAATAAAGCCTCTTTCATGATTTCCACAGTCAGATACAAATCCAGTTACAAAATAGTTAAGACACTGTGCAAAATATAAATTAAAAACTGTATTTGAATATTTATAAATCTCATAAACTCATGTGTTATTCAGAGGGACAGTCTACTGGGATATTAAGTCATCCCATTTTCTGTTGATGAACATTATTCTGAAATTGTTCCCATTTTTAGAAACGGTCTTTTGCAGACTCAGCCTCTTTAAAATGTTCTTTTATACTCATTCCTCTTACTGACCTGTTGCCAGTTAACCTAATTAGATGCAAAATGCTTTTAAAGTTTTTTTTATTGCCCCTTTGTGTTGCTGTCGAAAATAGTTAAATTATCTTTATCTATTTTGAATACATTAATTTTAAATTTGTGCATTAAGAGTGATAAGATTTAAGACAACAGTAAACCATGAACAGCCCTGAAATTAATATAAATTAAATTTGTGGCAGAAATTAAGACTGAAGACGTCCTTTGAGATTACAATCAGTAATGAGTCCAGATGTTTGCGATGTTTAGAGCCTCAATACAAAAAACTTGTTATATATCATGAGCAGTTCTCATACCGCCCTATAATCATCAGTCCAAATATGTCTAATAAAGTGGAAACATCCATAAATACATCTCTTTGCCTTATACGTCGCATCTATTATGCATCACCACTGACACATCGCGTTTGTTACGCATCACCGCTGACAACCCGGAAATGTGTTTGCGTGAAATTCTAGTAGTTTAGTTCAGTTTAACTTTTCTTTAATAAATGCACTGTCACAAATGCACAGCTGCATTTCAAATTCGCGGCTGCAGGAACGCGCAGAGGGACAACTCGACGTGCATTTCTTCTAAATTTAACAAGATAAGCACCAACAATTATTTGTTTGCTCGACATTATAGTAAAGATGTGTCTCAGTTGAACTTTTACTTAATAAATGCACTTTAATGCTCAAATCAGCTGCATTTCGCCGGAGCGGCGCTGTGAAATGAAGCTGGTTTGACGGTTGCTCCAGGCGAGCTGGACGAAGGTGGGAGATTATGGCAAGCCAACGGTGTCATTAATAGCCACTTTTTGACACAACGGCATGCCATACTACTCAAGTGCCATCTAGTGGCTGAAAATGGTAGTGTTCAATATTTTCAGTCAGAATGAATGAAAATGGTCACATCTCAGCCAAAAATTGGTTTATGAATATGAGAAAAAATCCATAAATACGTCACATCAGCGTATAAGTCGCAGGGTTTGACAATTATGCAAAAAAACGCTACTTATAGGCCGAAAAATACGGTACTTATGCGCATTAGAAAAGTAAAAGTTGTAGGATTAAGTTTAGGTTTTTAATCTTGTCATGTGTTTTCAGCAACTTTTGGAGTCGACTTCCTGTATTTAGAATTGAATTCATCCCTTTTTTATAAACAATGTTGGGTTAATTTTTGGAAACTCAAGTAAAGTTTAAGGACAAACTTGTATTAAAACTACTAATTAATTAACAAATAATCGAATGTCAAAAGAAGAAAAACATGAGCGTGAAAGTATAATTAGTTTCATATATTTCATAAGTCTCAGAATAAACTTTTCTCTCTCCTGCCAGGAGCCGGTAAACCACAGGAAACGTACTCTTCCATCTGCCAAAAATAAGCTTCACCCACCAAAATAATTACAATGTACATTCTTCAAATAAAGCCCAGCTAAGCTTTCAAAACAACAAAAAGCTCTGCAAATATTTACTCCCCGTGAATCTGTAAAGCTATGGAACCAGCTGGAAGCCCAGGGTCTGCAGCGCTGCTGTGATTTGATTGGCTCGTTGTCAGAGCGGCTGCACAGTGAGGGCAAAGATTATACATAAACCATAAAAACCCATTTTAAAATACGACACACAGCCAGTCAGTTTCAGATTTGTGTTGCTGCTTTCAAAAGATGAATAAGTATTCGTAGTCGTATTATCATCTTGATGAAGGTAACGTTTAATTTTACTCACCTGAGCCTCATTGTGCACCGTATTCTATTCAGTGTACTACTTTTATTGTCTTAAGTTCTCTGGACTGAGGAAGAGCTGAATCAAGCCAGTAATAATTCTGTCCAATCACCTTTTGGAAAAGGTTTATACTCAGAACTTCTTTTAGAAGCTGTGATTTTACAATGTGAGGAATGACTGAGTGGCAAGTGAAATTCACGCTTATAAAAATATCCAGTAGATGTTTCTGTATTATCCCCCCACCACCATGAAAAGTAAAAAATCTGTCTGTCTGTAGGTAAAATATCTTGTGATATGTGGATGGGGTAGGTGAAGCACCCACACCTGCCCCACCCTCATTGGCCCCACTCTGGGCCCATGCGCAAGGCCCTCAACCCCCATCTGCTCCTAAACAGGTCTCTCTTGAAAATGAGTGCTCGTGCCTCAATGAGACTTCCTGTATAAATAAAGTTTAAATTAAAAAATAAAATAAATTCAGCCTAAGAAGATGAGACAAAGGTGAACCCACCTGCCAGGACAAACAGATGGTTCCCCGGCTCTCCCTGCTGAATGACGTACTCGCCCTGCTGATAGGTGCGCTCGTACATGCACTCTACCATGTCTTTGATCTGCTGTTGCTCCAGCCTCTTCAGGTACTGATTCTTGTTCAGAGCGTCCGTCAGGAGCTTCTTTACGCTGTCGCACATCAGAAAACACAGCAAGAAGTACACACGTTTACTGTTTCAGGATCTGAAGGAGGAATTCCAATACTGCAATCAAGTCATGTTATTTTTAAGTTCTCAATAATCTAAGTATAAAATCCAACAATGAGTCAGATCATCTGGATAGTTTTTTTTTCTGAGCCGTTTTCATCCAAAGGACTTCTTTGATCTGATGAGCCACCAACAAACAAGACTGATTCCCACAGACAACAAACATTCATTCATTGGAATGAACCGTCCAGATGACAAATGATGATGAAATTTATATATATTTATATATATATATATATATATATATATATATATATATATATATATATATATATCTCGCCCTATTCTTCCACTTGGGCAGTTCCAATTCACTTCAAACTTGGGTCCTCTACCAGAGGCCTGGGAGTTTGAGGGTTCTGTTCAGTATCAGCTGTTCCTAGGACTGAGCTCTTCTGGATAGAGATCCTAGGATCTGTTGGAGCCACTCGTCCAGTTTGGGGGGTCACAGCACTGAGTGCTCCAATGGCCACTTGGACTGCTGACGCTTTGACTCTCCATAACCTCTTTCAGCTCTTGGTATTGTTCCAGCTTCTTGTGCTCCTTCTTCCTGATGTTACATTCACTTGGGATTGCTACATCTATCACCACTGCCTTTTTCTGTCACTTGTTGACCGCCACATTGTTTGGGTGGTTAGCCATCACCTGTTTAACAGTCTGGATCTGGAAGTCCTGCAGTATCTTAGTCCTTCCATTCTCCTCCATCTTTGCAGTCTCCCACTTTGACTGTGGGACCTCCTTGGCACAGATGTTCCTCTATATTATTCCAGCCACTTGGTTATGCTTTGCCTGCCTGGATCTTTTCCATTTATCCAGTCCAAATGATATTCCAATATCCTTGCTGTGCGGTGGATCAGTGACTCGATGTCTCAGAAATTTTTGGCACATCCATGTACAACGTAAAGGTGACATGATTTTTCCACTTTGGAACTGGTATCCATAGCCACTATTTGCAATGATCTGGCTGTGGGGTCTTTGCAGAACAGGAGTGGAGACAGTGCATCACCTTGGTATTTGCCACATTTGATGATCACTTGTGCAATTTGCAATTGGCTTCTACAATTGTCATCCACATTCTCATTGAGTTCTTAATAAAGGTGTTGGTGCTAATTCTGCTCCATGCCTCGCTCAGGTATTAACGCATGTGCCTATTCATCTTAGCCACTATGATGCCTGATAGGAGCTTACATGTTGTAGAGGCAGGTGATTGTCCGGTATAGTTGGATGGGGTTGCCCCTTTCTGGGGGGTTTTCATGAACAGGACTGTCCTGCCTTGGGACATCAACCTGGATGGGATCCTTCCATTTGTTCATCTGTCACAGAGAGAGCAGTCTGTTTCTTTAGCCAGCAGGTGTGGACCATGTCAGGCCCAGGTGTGGTCCAACTCTTTATTCCTGAGACTCTGTCCTGGATGTCTGCCACTGTAATGAGTTCTGGTTCTTGTTCTGGTAGATCTTAGATCTTGTAGCCGTGCCATACGCTTCTCCAGTATTGTTCAGTCTCACCTGTACCATGACAAAAACTGCTCAAAATGCAGTATCGAAGGCAAAATATATTTTATTACAAAAAATACTTTAAATATGCAAAAATAAAGAAAACCACAGGGCGTGACAGTCAGTCAGTAGTCAGTGTGTGAATATTATGATGCATGTGATGTTAATGCAAAATAAATAATAATGAAAACATGCTGGGGGGGAAAGCTGTCCCAAAACGAAGCCAGGCCTTTATGGGAAGACACTGGGTCCAGGTGTCTTGGATCAGCAAGAGGTCTGCTTCCGCTGCAACAAAATACAAGATGTTAGATAAGACCAGCCGTCACACTTGTGTTTACTTCCTTCTTTTTCAGCCTCTGGCTTCACTGGTGAGCCACCAGAACACCCACATCATCATTACTCATCTTTTTTTTTGGGGGGGGGGGACCTGTATGATAAATATTTTGTCTCCGGTGACAAGACTTGCAGCCTTTGTGCTCCTTTCGGACAATGAATCAAACAAAACTGTGAAAACATAAACTCAACATGATCTGTCAGAGTTCACAGATGCAGATTTGAGCAGCTGCAGCGACGGGAAACATAAAGAAGACATCGCTTCCTTTGGGGAGCTGTAAACTGAAAAGGTTATGAGCCACCGTTTATGAATCATGAGGTAGGGGGTGTCTGCAGTGTGTGGTCTGTTTATCCATCTTATGGTGTGACATAAATTTTCACTTTAGAGCTTCATAAAAGCCGCGCATCTGAATAAAGTCACATTTTTAAACCCTCCCCGTCACCTAGTTTTGTTGTTTGCAACTTGTTGCTGCCATTCACAGAGGACGAGTGTTGTGCGTCTGTGTGTGGATACGCTTAAGTAATGGTTCAGTATGAATCCAATCCGATCGGACTCCTTCACATATAGAAACAATTAAAGTACATTTGTTTTTTTAAGTTTCTGTGTGGCTCTCCAACAGGCTACACTGCTGGGAGCAACATGGAGGCAGTGGGGATGAACTCAGAGGGAATTATAAACTCACACCACTGCTTGTTTGTTCTCCTGTCCTCTTCATCTGTAAATGTAACTCCAAATGTTTTCTCCAACACCCTGACAGACACATGCAGCATTCAAGGTGCAGCTAATAAAAAAACTGCTACTTCTTGATACATTTACAAACTCCCAGCAACCAGTACCAGTGGATACAGTTTTACACTCTGGGCTGTGCTCAGTGCACACAGAGCACATTGCTTTTTAACACAAAGGAAGCCATAGTGTGCATTAGATAACTTTTTCTATTCCTTTTTCATCGCTGCAGTTAGCAAAAACCTTCTTAGCATAATTAGCCTCCTAAGACTAACATATTCTGATTGTCTGTACCCACCCCAGACAACTGCACCACGTCTGCTCTTTGTTTGCACAACAAAAAATGAGTTCAAATGCAAAGAAAATCAAACTTACGGAGCAAAGACCTGATCAAAAAAGCTGATTTTTTTATCTGGGTGTCCAAAAACTTCTTTAAAAAGTCTTCAGTTAATCGAAAACGTTGCTGCCAGAGTTGATAGGGGAGATCATATCTCTGCAGTTTTAGCTTCTCTCCACTGTCAAATCCAGAATACAAAGCTCCCAACAACCTAGCTCCATCTTATATTCCAGATCTTATTGTTCCATATTTTCCTATCAGAGCACTTCACTCTCAGGCTGCAGGTTTACTTGTGGTCCCTAGAGTTTCCAAAAGCAGAATGGGAGTCAGATCTTTCAGTTCTCAGGCTCCTCTCTTGTGGAACCAACTTCCAGTTTCTGTCCATGAGGCTGACACATTGTCCAGTTTCAAGACTGGGATTAAGACTTTCCTAGTGTGGATCGGCTTGGGTTTCCTGACCTATCCCTTAGTTATGCAGCTATAGGCTGGAGGATGAATTGACCACATTTCCCCACTCTGCTGCTGCCTTTACTTGTTACCTGTTTGTGATTAGTTCTATCGTAACATGTTTTGTCTTTCCTCCTATAGAAAGTTCACCTGGACCTGTCATTGTGTGTCTATTTCCACTTCCTGTCCTCTCAAACCCAGCCGGTCAAAGCAGATGACAACTGGTCCTGAGCCTGGTTCTGCTGGAGGTTTCTTCCTGTTAAAGGGAGTTTTTCCTTTCCACTGTCTCCTTTGTGCTCGCTCAGGATGGAAGACTGAGACGAAGTGAAGATTCAACATAAATAACTTGTATGGGAATGTTTCTGTTCATGTAACAGCTGAGTAATGTTCAACCCTGAACAGATTTTCACATTTTCTCAGCCATGAAGAGAAACAAGTTGATTTAACTTGTTGTTCTTTCTCTTTAAAGGTGCTATGTGTATTATTATCAACACAAACTGAATGATACATATTTTAATTATAAGCCATTCTGAGCTGCTTGTTGTCAAACTCATGTTAAAGTCAGTTTCTTTTCCCGGTTAGCTCGCTGCCTCGTGGTCCCCATGAGCAAACGTTTTGAGATCAAGTTACTTCCTTAATCTTATAACCCTCCTGCTGGGGCACACTGAAGCCCAGAGGCCTGCCATGAACCGGTGCAATAACAGGAGGCGTTCAGTTTCAGATGAGGAGTGTGCGGCGCATATTAGTGCACATATTCCCTGTCCTGCTTGACTTCACAAATCTCATGCACTAAATCTACATGAACTGAGGGTGTCACGAAGTGGCAGCTGTCATCTTTTAAAGCCGTTCTAAAAAGGACACTTGTCTCACCTTGCATCCTTTGGTACCCGAGCGTTCTCAAAGGAGAACTTAGGGAGGCTGCTGGACGTGGGTTCGGCAGATACCCCGGCTTTGGCGCCTCTCCTTCGGTTTAGGTTTTCCTTGATGCGAACGCTGAGGTTGGGGCTGCTCCTGCTGCTGGCCTTGATGGAAGGGGGCCGTGAAGTGAGCCCTGCCGGCGCCGCGCTCTTCACCACGTCTTGCAGCTTGTTCAGCTGGATGCACTTGTTCTGCAGCTCCTCGCTCAGCTCGGACAGAACCCGCGTCTGTGAGGCCACGTGCTCCTGGAGACCTCTGATCCGCTGCTCTTTGGCACTGAGCTCCTCATCCTTCCTCTTCACCTCCGCCTCCAGCTCCTCCACTCGGGCCCTCAGGGAGTCCACGGACGACTTTTTGAACCCACCTCGGTGATCTTTATGGACCTGGCCATTAGAAGCCGGAGCCTCGGTGTGTTTGTAACGCTTTGACTTCACCGACCCGTTCCCCATCTCACCTGAACAAACACGAGATTTAAAGTCACACATTAAAAGATGATTTATTCTCTTTTCTTTGATCCTAAGGGTTTTTAAACATAGAGTTTATTCACTAGAGTGTTTTTCTGCTGATTATTTTCAGTCCAACTACTTCTGCATACTTTTAACCCTTCTTATATTGTTCAGCTCATTAAAACGTAAACTTTAAACGTTTCAAAATATTAATTTTTACAAACATACAGAGATACACTAAGATGGTTTCAATGTTTATTCAGTGGTTCTCTTTAAAATCTGCTTCACCAAACTGGTTTTATTTCTCTCTTCTTTTGCTACTTTTAGTTCACATTTAGCTACTTGTAGCTTTAAGCAAGTGTTTTGTTACTTTTAGCTTTTATCTAGCATCTGCTTCTTTAGGCTTTTAGTTAGACTTTTGCTGCTTTTGTGCTACTATGAGCTTTTAGCTAACATTTAGCTACTTATGAAAGTCACAGTCAAAGCTATAGCTTTAAGCAAGTGTTTTGTTACTTTTAGCTTTTTACTAGCATCATGCTTCTTTAGGCTGTTAGACTTTCGCTACTATTAGCTTTTAGCTACATAGCTGTTACATTTAGATTTTGGCTACCTTTTTGTTACATTTATACTTTTAGTTATCATTTTGCTACTTTTGGCTTTTAGCTATATGTTTCCATTTTAGTTTTTAGTTAGCATTTAGCTACTTTTACTGCAAAAACTACTTTTGTTACATATTTACAGAAGCGAAACATCTTCAAAGCCCACCTTTAATGGCAGTGGGCAATCATGTAACTGTGTGTGCGGGATGTATTTGTGTGTTCAAAGTCACCACTGACATTCATTGACAATTAACTTGAGACATCCTGATCCAAGATCCAAAATGAGTAAAAGTCAGATTAGCATCCTGAATCTTTGAGGAGTCTGGGAACAAAACAGCTGATGCAGCGAGGAAACACAGGAAACAGACAGAAAATCCAGCAGATGACAGTCACTGAGCATCTTCTCTATTTATTATTCAGCAGGCAGGAAGTGTTGGGTTACATGAACTCATCTCAGTGAATCAGTTCAGCAGAAGCTGCTCTGAACAGAAAACAGCTCAAAGTGACACCAGCTCAGTGAGTCCACATCATGTGTACATGAAACATCCAGAGAACAATCCTGCTGTTGTCGTTGGGGATGTGCACCCACTCACAAACACGCACAGAGGGTTTCATTCATCACGTTCAGTCAATAAATAAATAAATAAATAAACAAACACGAGACATCATATAAACAACGAAAGTTCTTGTTTTCTTTGATTAAAACGTGAAGAGGGAACGCAAACAGGATAAATTAGTGTTCAGCTGTTTGGAGAGAATAAAAACGCCACTTGACGCAGGAGTTCAGCGACTCGTCAAAACATGAAATGGGAGCGCGTGCACCTGCGTGCGTGTGAGACAGAGGTGGCTCTTCAGGTGCGGGGTCCGGTTCTTACCTGGTCCGCTGTCGGAGGCTTCAGACGAGCTCGGAGGCCGGTTGAAGAACCTGTTCGGACACCGGAGCATCGGGACGGCCGCTGAGCCTCTGCGTCCCTCGCGCGCTCTCCCTCATCCGCCTGGAGGCGTGTACGGCAGGCCGTTGTTACATATAATCAAAGCAGACTTCAACCTGTTATGATTTCTTTGTTGGATTTCACCAGCTGAATTTCCTGTTGGTGAGAATTAACTTCCTACCAGTCAAAAATAAAATGAAACATATCTAAAGTAAGACAGTAAATATTATATTTGAAGGTGAAATTGTGCAAAGAAATTAATTTAAAAGTTGTTCAAAAGTTGTATGTGTATAGGAACACCTGGAGAGCTGGTGCAAAGAGAATAACCTTCACATCAATGTGATTGTGATGATCATGGACTTCAGAAGGAACAGAAGGTCTCCAGCTACAAGTTCTTGGGTGTACACATGAATGACAACCTCTGCTGGGGCAACACCAGCCTGATCAAGAAAGCTCATCAGAGACTCTACTTCCTCAGGCGGCTGAGACGAGCTGGTCTGGAAGCTCAGTCCTCACCTCCTTCTACAGGTGTGCAGTGGAGAGCATCCTGTGCTCCAGCATCAACGTGTGGCATGGAGGCTGCACAGCTGCAGAAAGAAAAGCTTTGCAGAGAGTGGTGAAGGCTGCACAAAAGATGTTGGAGTCAGCCTCCCCACCATCACAGACATCTACACCTCCAGATGCAGGAAGAGGGCCACCTGCATCATGAAGGACCCCACTCACCCAGCACACACACTTTTTGCCCCGCTCCCCTCAAGAAGGAGGTTAAGGAGCATTAAATGTAGAACCACTAGACTGAGGAACAGCTTCTACCCTGAGGCTCATGAATCTCTAACCAGAATAATCACTGAAAAATCACATCATGTTGCTGCTGATCTGTTTCATGTTGCTGCTGATCTGTTTCATGTTGCTGTGTTCATGCGTGCTCACACAGACTCATGTTCGTGCTGCTGTTCGGTGTAATTTTTTTATTGCTACAAGTGCTATTTAGTTGATGTATTTCTTAGTTCATATCTTAGATATTATTACTGTTCGTCTTTCACATTTTGTTGTTGGATGTAACTGGGACCCTGAGTACATAATTTTGTTCCACCACATGTACCACATGGGAACCTGGAATCCTTGAATCCTTGAAACAAGCTGGAAACCCAATCAGTCAGCTGGAAAATAATAAAATATTTCAGGTCATTTGATCTTTAATTTACAAACAATAAAAAGATTCAGTGAACACATTTAGAGATGTTGCTCAACATGTTACTCTTTGAATGCAACAACGTTGTGTTTTAACTCCACATAAGTGGACGACACCCTGCTCGTGGTGCTTCACACCCACAGATGATTATCGGTTCCCCCGAGCGTCTGCCCTGCTGCCATCACTTCCACTCACAGCAACAGAGTGGCAGGCGACCAGAACTGGTCCATCTGCAGCCGTCAGGTCACAGCAAGAAAAGAATCCCGTCACTGACGTCCACTCTGAACCTGGCCAGGGCCCGGCAGAGAACAGCTGAAGCTGTTCCGTCTCCCAATGACTGAAGAGTGCAGTGATTTGAGGAACTCGTCCTCCTTGTCCTGAGTGATTTTTTTTATTTCTCTGAGTAGAATAAACAAAAATCACTCTGAATAATATCACATTAAATGTTTCTTGTAGTGGAGATATAATGTGAGGCTGCTGAGCTGCAGCATCCTGACAGGAAACCTGCCTCAGTGTTTCCTGTTGTGTTGTTCATCATTTCATCAGTTATTAAACACAACGTTAATCTTACAGAGTGATAAGAAACACTTTGGGGCCTGGGAACGCCTTGGAATCCTCCCAGAAGAGCTGGAAGAGGTGGCTGTGGAAAGAGATGTCTGGGCCTCCCTGATCAAGCTGCTGCCCCCGTGACCCGACTTCAGAATAAATGGAAGATGATGGATGGATGGATGGATGGATGGATGGATGGATCATTTAATTTGATTCCATGAACACTTTTACTTTACTTGAAGTTTAAAATATCCAAAGAAAAAGTAAAAAAAGTAAAACAGAATGTGAAGAAATCTTCAACTTTCTGTACATTTTTTAAATAAATCCAGAAATGTGGTAAATCTAAAGGAGCTGCTTTATGTGAAAACATTAAACTTTAATTCTCCAAAACATCTGCTCAAATGACTCTTTTTTTTAAAGTAACAAACATCTGGAGAAAACTTATTTTTCGTCTATATATATATATATATACACACATATATATATATTTTTATTTATTTTTTATTTATTTACACTTTATTTATACAGGTAGTCTCAAGAGAAACCTGTTTAGGGAGCAGATGGTGGGGGTTAAGGGGCCCAAAGTGATGTGAATGAGGGTGGAGGCAGGTGTGGGTGTTTCACCTTTTCCACCTCTGCGCCACCACTCCCCCA